AAGTTTCTTTTGCCTATATACCCTTAATTTTAATAATTAATGTTGGATTAACTTTCAAAAGTGATTGGATCAAGCAGAAGAAGAGATCTTCCACAAGCGAGATTAAGAAATTTGACGGATTTAAATTCTTTCTTATTTTGTTACGTTGAAATTATACATATATTAAAATTAAAAAAGAAAACAGAATTTCTAAGATGAGTAAAAATAAGGTGCAATCGGAAAAATAGTAATTAATGTTGTCATGCAATTTTTAAATAACAAATAAGACACAAAATGATATCACAATTATAAAAGGAAGTGGTTCATTAAAAAGAGTAACAAAAGAAAGTAGCAAAACTCCCATGTAAGGAGCCTTTAACTTTTTTTTTTTCAAATCTCCCAACTCAGTAAATGCTATGATTTTTTTAAATAGAAATTTCCTTTTTTTTTTTTGCCCACTAAATAGGAATTTCTAGACATGACAATTAATAGATATGATCAAATCAGACATCCTATGGTCTCAGCCTCTCAGTATGATGTACTCTTCCTGTTCATAATATGTACGTTACTTTTTCTTACCTCTAATAATGTAAAATATAAGTTCAACTTAATAATATTTAGAATATTTAATTTTTTATTCAATTTCTGTGTATAATTAAATATTTATAAGTAATTAATTTATTATGATTAATATAATGTTGGCTTTTGATAAGAGTAAGTTCGGAAAGTACAACGAATTTTTATAACATCCTAACTTCTTTTTGTGCGGTGGTTAAATTAAACCTATATGATGAACCAGAGAAATATTTAAAGATATTATTTTCTGCCAAAGAAAAGGATACCTTTTAGCCCTGCCAAAAAACATTGCACCATTAAGGACTTCAATGGCACATGCTGGGCAAAAGAATCGCCGCATGGCATGCTTCACCCTTTGAGGGATATAAGTTATATAAACTAATATCCCGTTTGGTAGGAAGTATTGAAAATAAAGAATAATGATTGGGATTACAATTAAAAATAATTATTAAAATAGTATTTAACATGAGTAATTGCTTGTTACATGGGATTAGTCAAACCCATAAAGGTGAGATAATCCTACATACATGATTTTAGTTAATATCATATAACAAATAATCTCTTATACTAAACACTTTTTAAATAGTTTTTCTCAGTCTCAATTTCAATCCCTATCTCTAATTTTCATTGCTTCCTACTAAACGTAACTTAAGAGTGCAAAAGATGATAGAATATGATTATGAGAAAATTACTCTTAGATCCCACACAACAATATCTAATACTACTATAAAATAAATCTATTGAATCATTAACATACGATGCTTTAGCAAAAATGTCTCATAGGATGGATGATAATTTTTGTATCCTTGACCACCCTCCCACTCTTAGCTATGAGTTGGACGGTGGTGAAGGAAAGGAGGACTTTTAGCCCTTGGTTCCCCTTGTACTGGGGTGTTTTGCTGAATTAGTAAATCAGCTTTTCATTCAAAAAAAAAAAAAAGAAACATTAACGTACTCTGAAGTTTGCTGCTCTTTATGGAACGAAGGATCATTTTTTCAAAGTTAAATACATTTTGATAAATATACACAGAACTTATTTATCATTGAAGGACATCGAATTTCAGAATACTTTTGTGATTTGAAGAGACTTTTTATATTCTGAGTTGTTATAAGGGACAGAGAGTGATTTTTCTTGTAATTATTATATCAAAGAGTTTGTTATCAAAATTTTAATATAATAAATGTGCTTAGGTTACTACTCTATTATTTTTGCTGTACAATATTTTATAATTGGATGTTTTAGTCTTATTTCTAGGAATAAAATCGTATTGAAGAATCCAGTAGTTAATAACAATTTGAAATTTGTTTCCATCAGACGTCTAAAATATTGCGAAAATAACTGCATCGTCTTTGGGGAAGATGAAGCTGATATCATTTTCCAAAAATCACCCTTCAGATTATTCTGGAAACCCGCAGAATTTCTTTTTGATAAAAAAAAAAAGAATTATCAAAACTTAAAAATAAAACTACATTACTTCTTTATGGAAGCAATATTGGCCCAAAACAATGCATTTGGGATTAACAATTTCACAATATATTTCGTCACTTTCAATAATCCCAATGAATCATTCCATGCATTTTAATTTGCTTCCATATTATATGAAGGCGTTTACCATCTCTCAAAGGCACCAAAAGTCAACTATAATTTTGGTCTTTTTGTAATAGTGTTGACCAAGCTAAGAATCCATTAAGCATTTAACATCCATCCCTCCAACTCACATGAAATTGAATAGAAAAATGGCATCTTGCTGATTTCTAAGTGTATATATAAGTGGAAGCCACCTTTAATTTTCCATGCATCTCAGAGAGAGAGACAGAGAGAGAGAGGAAATAGAAGGCAATGGATTTGTTGAGCAGAAGAGGTTCAATATGTGTGGTGCTGATACTGTTGGCTGCATTCTGTGTGCTGCAGATTAATGCAGAAACCAAGACATGCACCAACAGAAGGAGCCCATGCTTCTTGAAGAGGATTCAATGCCCAGCTCAGTGCCCTTCTTCCTCGCCCTCTGATCCAAAGGCCAAAATCTGCTATGTTGATTGTGATTCTCCAATCTGCAAGGCTCAATGCAAAAGTAAGAGGCTGGCAACCCCACAAATTTTCAATTTTTCTCTTAGTGTTCTATTGTATGCTTCTGATCCTCAATATTTATGCAAACTTTATGTTATGTGTTTGGGAAAATTGCTGAAAATTCCCTCATTATAAAATTTGTTTAGGACATAGATATAATGTTTTCTTAATGAGTGCAACTCTTCTTCAGTTGTGTGCAACCTATCTTTAACTATGTGCAAAACAAAAGACATTTGCATATAGCTGAAGATATATTGCATACAACTAAAGATTGAAGAGGAGTTACACCCACTCAAAAATCAGGTTTTTAGACATTTTGAATAATAAATTTTGTGATAGGAAATTTTTCAGTAATTTTTCCTCTGTGTTTTCCAATTGAACTCACAATGAAGACCATTTTGTAGAAGGGCGGGGGATTAGTGGAGTTATGGCCTCAAATTTTCAATCTTTTCATAATGTTATAAAAGTGCTGCACGTTTTTCGCCGGTTTTATGTAAATTTTATGCATATATGTGTTTTTTTTTTTTTTAATCTAGGACTCTATAATTAAATCCTGGCTTTGCCCTGCATTCTTTTATTATTTGATTACGAACTGCTTTTCCTCATGAAAATCTTCAAACAGGACGCAAACCAAACTGCAATGGGCGTGGATCTGCATGCTTGGACCCTCGTTTCGTAGGAGCAGATGGGATTGTGTTTTATTTCCATGGACGGAAGAACGAGCATTTCTCCTTGGTATCAGACACCAACCTGCAAATCAATGCCCGTTTCATCGGTCTCCGGCCGGCCAGCCGGTCGAGGGACTACACGTGGATTCAAGCACTGGGAATCCTCTTTGACTCTCAGGAATTCTCCATTGAAGCCACCCCAGCAGCAACTTGGGATGATGAAGTTGACCACTTGAAGCTCTCTTACAATGGACAAGAACTCATGATCCCAGAAGGTCATTTCTCTGTTTGGGAATCCAGAGAGAAAAAGGTTAGAGTGGAGAGAACTTCAAGCAAGAACAGTATCTTGCTTACTACTGAAGTTGCAGAGATTTCTGTCAATGTTGTTCCTGTGACCAAGGAAGACAGTAGAATCCATAACTACCAGATACCTGAGGATGATTGCTTTGCTCACCTGGAGGTGCAATTTAAGTTCCATGGCTTGTCACCTAAAGTTGAAGGAGTTCTTGGAAGGACTTACCAGCCGGATTTCGAGAATCCTGCGAAGCCGGGCGTGGCAATGCCGGTGGTCGGAGGGGAAGACAAGTACAGAACAACTTCACTTCTTTCTGCAGATTGTGGGGTGTGTTTGTTCTCTCCTACTCAAGCTTTCCCAGAAAAGATAGAACCAGTGATGCAGCATGGGACGTTAGACTGCAGAGGTGTTGCCAACAGTGGGAATGGCATAGTCTGCAGAAGATAAACAAAATCTGGAAATCACCATTATTGATTCCGGAATAATTATATGTTTGAATATTTATTAAGAAAATATTTCTCTGTTAAGTTTCGAGGTTTGAATAAAAATTATGTGTAACCTCTAGTTTACCTTATTATTAATGATTGATAAAAAGATGGAGAAATTTCATTTCATATAAAAGATCAATTTTTTTCAAAAAAAAAAAAAGAAGATCAAATTTATGTTCTCAATTTTCGTTTTAAATTATCTGTATGCAAGACAGCATAAATGTATTGAAACTTTCATGGTTATCATTCTTATTCTTCATGACTATTAGTAACTTGAATTTTTTTTAATATAGTCTTTATGATTTTTTGTTGAATTTCTTATAAAAAACGTTGGCTATATATTTTTACTTTAATATCATTTTAGTTTTTTATTTTTATATTATTACACATAATTTATTTCCTAATGACCTTTCTCTGCTTTTATAAAAACAAATAAAAATTATTGATGATAAATACAAAAAAATAAAAATTTAACCGCCAAACACATCCCGTACTTGACCTGCGACAGGCTGTGCTGCGTAAGCCCCACTCCCTTCTGTGTCTTGGGTGAGGGGACTTGTGTGGGCAGAGAGAGTTTTTCAGAGTTAAATCAGACCTAATCCAAGACATGAAGAAGGTTTGAACTCATCTGTTTCAATGCAGAAAAAGAAAATGGATTATATGAATATGTGTATGGTTTATTTCCTTTCACGATGTTTCTCTTTCACATGACGAGTTTCTAGCCTTCACAGGTCATATAAATAGGAAATCTGCAACCGTAGTTATTCAAAAGATAATCAAGTATGATAGGAAAAAATGCAATAGAAAGAAATTCAACTCAGTTAAATATCAGAAATCAGAACTAGGAAGAGGACCCTTTCTATAGTGATTTCATAAAGAAATAACTTACAAGGTCCATATATTGTAACGTGTGAAAACAAGGGAAGTTTAACTCCTTTGATTTATATAAAGAACAACAGAATCTTGATGGTACCTTGCAGGCAATTTCTGACAGGTTCATTTGTACCCGGAAGTTTACTATGTTACAGGACTTGCTTATGGGCAAGGGAAAAAAAAAAGGATTAAAAAAATATAGAGAAATGATGGTAAACCTCCATTCATCAATCAGGAACTTCTCAACTTGTTCCGAGGCCAAAAAAGGCCACTGTACTTGATGGCCCAAGGCTGGAATTGACCATGAACACACACAGGAAGATTTTATCTTCCTCGAGGATTTACCAATTGTGAGAACACTGCACTTGTGGCAGCATCTTCTGCATCATCATCTGTGCCAGAGTTACCCATATCAATCATACTTACACTGTTATCAAAAGGCTCAAGCGTAGTCAGCTGAATTCCAGTAATGTGATTTGTGCTATTATCTTCAGGTTCTGTGAGTGCTGAAGAGGTCTCTTGAAGCTGCAGAGCATATTCAAGATTCCACAATACATCTCCCATAGATGGCCTGTCCACACCATGCTCGGCCAAGCATTTCTCGGCCGTCTCGCCGAACTTCTTAAGAGAAGCAGGACTCACCTTCCCCACCAGATTTTGATCCATGATTTGATCAAGCATGCCCTTTTTCTGCCAGGTCATCGCCCACTCAGCTATGTTAACTTGCTCCCTTGGAAGGACAGGATTCAAAGCTGGCCTTGTGCATAATACTTCCATTAGAACTACTCCAAATGAATACACATCTGATTTCTCTGTGAGTTGTTGCCTTCTGAAGTACTCAGGGTCAAGATAACCGAAACTGCCTTTCACTGCAGTGCTTACATGGGTCTGATCCAGAGCAGGGCCAGTTTTTGAGAGGCCGAAGTCAGCAACTTTGGCAACAAAATTGTCATCCAAGAGGATGTTTGTTGTCTTCACGTCTCTGTGAATTATGCTTTGAGCTGCACCAGTGTGAAGATAATGGAGGCCCCTAGCTGCTCCAATGCAAATTTCAAGCCGCTGCTTCCATGATAGTGGTGGCTGGTCTGCTCCATACAAATGGCTTCTAAGAGGTCCATTAGCCATATATTCATAGACAAGAATCATTTCTGACCTCTCATCACAATAGCCTATGAGAGACACAAGATGACGATGGCGAAGCTTGGACAACATGTCGATTTCAGTTCTGAATTCAGCAATGCCTTGTTCAGATCTGGGATTGCCTCTTTTGACAGCTACATTGGTGCCATCTTCGAGTGTTCCTTTATAAACCCTCCCAAAACCACCAACCCCAAGAAGCAGCTTCTCATCAAATTTGTTGGTTGCATCTAGGATCTCTTGGAAACTGAAGAAACGCCCAATATTCGTCGAGGCTAAAGAAATGTAACTTGCTGTCCCACTCTTCTGTGACATTGTTGATTTTGTCATGGTCTGAGAGTTTCCATATAGGGGCAAAGGCAGCCATGAATTACCTTGTTGAGTGGACTTTGACCGGCGTCTCACAAAGCAGCAGTAGTAACACAAACCGACGAATGCTATAGCAGTTACTGCTCCAACAGCAGCACCAACTATTATTCCTATCTTGTTCGCCTTCGAAGATGATCTAGGAAGAAGACCATCCACTGAAGATAGCCCGTCCAAGCTCTTCAATGCATTGCTAATTTTCATTATCTCCAGCCCATTCATGGTGGCGTTTGTCATGTCTGCCATTGAATCTGGACCAACACTTACACTCAAAGTGTTCGATTCTGTGGAGGCATTGGAAACGAAGTCCTTGTAGTAAGGCACAGCCAAGTTACCAGTTATGGATGAGAGGTCAAAACCTCCAAGAGCTATATCAGAATTTATGAACATATCAAACACTAAACTATTGAGAGATATGCTCATAATATCACAGAAGTGTGCCCGAATGAAATAAGAGAAGTTTGGATCCACAGGGAAGACCCAAGTAATGTTGAAAGTATTTTGAGCCACATTTGCATCACCCATCGTTTCTGCAGTGGCATAAACCCAATTTGGTGCAGTCTCGGATGAAACACCAGCTGGATACTTGATGGTCGAAGGGTTAACTGAAACATTAAGGACAGAACTATTCACATGAAGGTATTTCAGATCGTTCTCCCAAGTCCTTCCAAGGGTATCATTTTGAGCATTAAGCAGAGGACCTCCCATATTCAACCGGTAAACAGTTTCAAAAGCAAGCTCGGAAAGGCCACTGAATGGGGTTGATGGGCTTAAAGCCAATGCCTGATCAACAAACAAGTCATTTGGCATTGATACAACTTCAATACCATTGACAAAAACCACCGAACCATTTGACGGAAGGAAGGTAAGAGTCAAGCTATCAGATGTAACATTGATTGCGTACTCCTTGAACATATAAGAACCATTGTAGTTCTTAAAGGTGAAGTTGTTCAAGAGAACAAATTCACCAGTGACCACAGTTAACGAGGCAGAATTCAAGTCATGGCTAGGGTTTTTAACAGGGAAGAAGTACAGACGGACCCAGTGACGGCCTTGTTGCTGAATTTCAAAGCTATAAGAAGCTTTCTCCGTGAAAATCCGAGCTGACTGGTATAATGGGAATGGGGCACGAGAACTAGAACTAGCAGCAGCAACAGAATTCCCAGATTCCAATGCTAATGAAGAGTGCTGTGAATCAGGGACAAAAGTACGACCTTGGAAAGTGATATTTTCAGAAGAACCACAAGCAATCAGATAATTATCAGGAGGGGTGTATGAGGCAAATGACTCATCCACCAAGAACAAAAACACTACCAGAACAAAAGAAACCCACTTCACTATGTTCACCTTCACCATCTTAACTTCCGGGTCTTCACTAATCCATAAACGGGTTGCCGAATACCCGATTCACAGAAAAACGAATCAGCCGGGAAATTCACAGACACCTCAGAATTACGTCAAAAATGAGCAAAACGCTGCAAATCCTATTGTCAAGCAGTTTGTGGGCAACATACACAAAACCTGCAGTAGTACCGGATCTGATCAGCTCAATGCCCAGAAGAAGACATTACTTTTACAAGTAGTAGACAGAACTTAAAACGTCATAAGACCATTCAAAAACACAAGCTCTTCTCCGCGATAAGTTCAGATCCTATTTGCTAGAGTTTTCTGACGTAAATAGACTGAAACTATATAGGAGTTCTTACCTCATGGAAGGAGCAAAATGCGCATAATGTGGTGCCAGGTGAAGAGATATGATAGAGACGAGAAAGAGTTGAAGCTAGAAGTAAGATTTACATGAACCCAATTGGTGAGTGGAAGACCATTATGAAGTTGAAGCCTTTTAGTGTGGGTACAAGCACAGGTTTCCAGGCTGTTGATTAGGCTGTCAATAACAGAGTAAGAAAAACAGAGGACCCCACAAGTGAAGAAAAAGGATACGAAACTTCGAAATCTCACTTGCGGGCTGCTATACCTCCTCCATTATAAGGGAGAAATAAAATCCGAATCTGAAAATCCAGCTGTGCCCTCAAGTTATTGCGCTGTGATTTCAAAAAAAACTATGAGAATCTTTGAAAAAGATTATTATAGTTCATATAAAATGATAAAACTCTGCAACTAAGAAGAGTAATTATTATCTATCAGCTATGAAAGAAGGTCGTATTTAATGGAGAGGTACACCAACTGGAGGTTGTGTTTGTTTGCAATATACAATTTTTGAGTCGTTGAAATCATAGAAAAGGGTTCGAAGAACATGGGGGTGCGCTGGGATGAAGGATCTCTGGGACCCGCTTTAACGCGGCTTCAAAATTCATAAGGGACAAGAAGGACAGGGTTGACGGCGCTCATTGACGAAGTTAGAAGCAATTCTTATATGTTTAGTTTTATATAATTCTTAAGGTTGAAGATTTGTCCATGAATTCGGTGAAGAAGAAGAGGAAAGTTCACCTGAAAAATAGAAATAACGGTGCGAAGGAGCGGTTTAAGACGTTGATGTGAATGTGAGAGCTTGAGGCCAAAAGAATGAAAAGAGACGTTAATGGAGGAAGAGAGAGAGTATAACCAAAAAAAAAAAAACTGACAAGAATAAGAAGCGCCGCATAGAAGCACATGGCTTCTCACTGTCTCAAACCCAACGTCTCTGTCACTCTTCCCCTGTCTTCTTCCGCCTCCCTACATTTTTTTTTATAGATTTTTTTCCCCCAACACCTCCAGATTTTATTGTATAATACTAGCAAAATTATAATTTTTCATTAGAATCTATATATCAATATTATGTGGGAAAAAAATAATAAATATATAAATACCAATCTATCTCGCATGTATATAGTACTTTAATATCGTTGGTACAAAAAAAATTTAATATCAATCATTTTTATACCAGTACTTTAATAGTAATGAATATATCAAGGGAAAATTTTTAAGAAAATTGTCTTTACATTTTAAAATCCCAAATCAGAAGTTATTATAAAAATATATTGTTATTTATTTTTCAAGTGTAGTCAATTGCCATTAAAATGTAGTAAACAAGAATAATTTAAATTGTTAAAATTCAAAGGTATTTTTTAATAGATTTTTTCATATATATATATATATTAATATAACATTTGTAACAATTCAATTATTTTAAAATTATACATAACGTCAAAAATGAATAGTAGGACATAGAAATTATAATAAACAGTCAAGACTTTATTGTCCAAATGATTTCAATCAATTCTTTTAAAATTTTCTTAAATGTGAAATCATAAATTCAAATCATAAAAAGTTTGTAACTCAGGGTAAAAAGAAAAATTTTAGAATAAATGTGATAACTCTCTTTTTGTTAATTTTGTTATTTTTTATATGCATGGACAATAAATAACTCTGCATATGTTTATTTTTCTTATTACCAAAGAAGCACTTACTTACCTAAATACTCAAGTACTAAAACGTTAAGTTATAATTAATTCCAAAAAAATTGATTATTAATTAATTAAATTGTAAATTCATAGCGACCAGGCATTTCTTTTTCTTTTTCTTATCAGTAACACTATATTTTTTATATCGCATACTACGTAATATCTTGAACTATAATTTTTTTTTTTCCCATTTCTGTGATGATTAGTGATAAAGAATAAATAAAGGCCGTATCCTTATCTGTCTCTCCCTTTTACCCCGACTTAGTGGGCAAACGGGGGCTTTCCCCTGTTACCAATATTCATTAATTAATTCCGATAAATATTTTAGCGTATTGTATTTCCAGTTTCCATTTACGAATTATCTGAAGAAAATTATTAGCATATTATAATAATTAATTTCATCTATTAATTAATGTGTCACCTTTCTATCATCCTTGCATGATTATGGTTATAATTATCATTAATTATCATGACATCTCAATGATTGGTTGTGCATGCCACTAGTGAAACCAATACATGGATCATCTTGATACATACATACTAGTTCTTTTTCTTTTTTTTTAACTCCAAGACATAGTTCATTTTTATATGTAGAGTTTAATGAAATATTTTTTATGTAAATAGAATATTGGAGGAAGGGAACAAGTGATAATGTTAGATATTTTCCCAGAAAAAAATGTTAGATACTACTCCTCCGGTCCTTAATATAAAATCTATTTAACTAATTTGATTATATTAAGGAAGTTAGGTAAGTTAGTTAATTATAAGAAATGTGACATATTTTTCCTAAAATACCATAATCATCTTTCTTAATACCTCATCTCCCTCTTCTACTTGATTATGGTTGAGAGAGTATCCATAAGGGTACTTTAGAGAAAATTGATAAATATGATAAATGGGTCTTATATTTAGGACCAAAACCAACTCAACAATTAGGTCCTATATTAAGGACCGGAGGAGTACTATTTAATTTAAAGTCAAATTTCCTCAGTGTTATAGTTGGAGAATTGTCTTTGGGATCTTAAGTGATAACGATACGATTTTTTTTTTTTTTAATAGAGGCCAGTAAATGGAGGATGTAAATGTGAACTAAGTTAAACGATATTATGCATTAAATTATTTAAATATTTTATTTTAAAAATGTGTGAATGACAAGTGTTTACCACCTTATTAATTACAAAAAATGACATCACACGCATTTTTGGAATCAATTCCCTTTAATTGGTGCAGAAAACAGACGTTAAAAACGTTATTTATACTAGTAAAGATTTTAATTTCAAATCTCATGTGTATTGGGGAAAAAAATTCATTGGAGGTGTTTTATATCTAAATAATCTAATTTAACTTATTCTCAATATAACCCACTTTCATCTTTCAGCTTTCATAGATAATTTTTGTTTCTGGTGGAACGTTACAAGATTTTTATGTTGTGAAATGTTTAATTTATTGTTGTCTTCTCAAGTGATTAGTCATTAGTCAACCACCCCATCGTGCATCCTTTTCATAATCATGATGAGCTCTTTTTTGGAATTTTTTACAATAAAGAGTTAAAGACAGGTGAGGCCATGTTAGACTTGGATCACAATTAAAAATTGAATAAGTATTTAATACCCAATTAGTTAATTGTAATCAATATAATATGATCTCTCTAAATACTCCTACATAATATTAAGTCATGCATCAGTTTATACATTAAGTATATTAATTTAGAAAAAATAATAATAAATATAACAGATAAAATATATTGAGATTTTATATTTAAAATGAGACTCGATCATTCAACTAATAGCTATGTTTATGGATGAAAGGAAGTAGTACGTTAATACTCCACTGGTCCTATTTATAAATTACTTTTAACATATTTTACATAGATCAAGAAAAATTTTAAGTCTCATTAACTCTCATTTAAAATTCAGTAACTTTTTAATTTTATCCTCATTTAATATATATTATACATCATGTAAACAAAGTCAACGCAATAATAAATAGAGAATAAATTTTGTATATTCATATAAAAAATTTCTCTTATTATCCTATGAATATGACCCCAAAAAATCTTATCTTCTTGCCTTATAAATAGAACTAAAAAGGTATTACCTCCAGTCCTTAATATAAGACCCTGTTTGACTTTTATTTTGGTCCTAAATATAAGACCTCAATCCACTTTGTCTCTCATATTTATATATTTTTTTCAAAGCAGCCCTTCTAACAATAATAGTTCTAGTCAATACACTTTATTAGTAAGAATATGTTAGGAAAGATAACACATATTTAGAACAAATAACTAACTCAATTTACTTTCTTAATCTTTTCAAATTAATCAATTGGTTTTTATAATTAATACTGGAGGTAGTATAAGATTAAGAGTTTAAGAAGAGGGATTAACGGAGATGGTGATTAGTGATTGGTTTTAAGGAGAGGGTCTTGAAAGGGACAACTGTCGTGCCTTGCCGAACCGGTTCCCAAAGCCGCGTCGTTGATGCCATGCTTCTTGCCTTTTCTTTCCACCGCTTCGTCTCCCCACCATTCCTCATTTAACCTTTTTTTTAATAAATATTTTATGCTACTACCACTCTTCCTAATTATAAGAGCTACTTAACTAATTTAAGGAGATTAAAAAAAATAAGTTAGTTATTTGTGATAAATATGTGTTGTCTTTCCTAAAATATCCTTACTAATCAAGTATATTAGCTAGAACTACTATTGTTAGAAAGACTATCTTGAAAAAAATACATAAATATTAGAGACAAAGTGGATTGGGGTATTATATTTAGGACCAAAATAAAATTCAAACGAGGTCTTATATTAAAAAACAGAGGTAGTACTATACTGTATTACTAGTTCCGATCCTAATTATAAACTCGCGCTTATGGTCTAAAAAAAATCTTATAATTACGACCAAAAATAATATATCATATGAAATTCAACATGATATATATAATTATCTCATTGAGAAATTTTTACGCAAAAATTGAAATCTTGAAATTAGAATTCCTGTAAATGTAAGGGAGAATTGCAATTAGGTCCCACCTAAGAGAATTAAATACAAAAAGATCCATTGAAATCATAAAATTATTCTGAAGTCCTAAGGGGCTCTTTTGTAATAAATTTTATTTGTTTAATTACCAAATTACCCTTCTTCTTCTTTTTTTGTTCTAAGTTTGCATTAATAACTAAAAAAGCAGTGGTTGACAACTTAGGGTGCAAGGATTGACAACTATCGCAACTGGTTTGACAACTCATGCTTTACATTTTGTGATATACTGAAAAAATGTGTTGTCGAACCAGCAGCAATAGTTGTCAATATTTACATCCTAAGTTGTCAACCAATGTTCTTTTAATTGTCAATACAAACTTAGGGGGAAAAAAGAAGAAGAAGAAGAAGGGTAATTTGGTGATTAAACAAATAAAATTTATTGCAAAAAAGTTCCTTGAGACTTCAGAATAATTTCATGATTTGAATAGGTCTTTTTGTATTTAATTCTCTTAGATGGGACCTAATTGGAATTTTCCCTAAATGCAAGTCCAGTAAAATTCATAATTCAATAATTCAAGTCGAAGTTTTTTTAAGCTTATAAAATTTAAAAATCATGTTAGGCTTGAATTTTTAAATTATATATATAAATTTGTAATTATAAATTTTTG